AATCGAGGATAAATTGGGCCTTCGGGTTGGGTTGGGGTGGTTTGGTGGGTGGTGAATCTTTGCGGCCGCGTTAGCTCGAGCGTACTCGCGTGCGGAGCGGCCAGACTGTTCGGCGCTTCGCGGGCCGAACTGCCGCACAGTGGCCGCCAGTCCGTCCAAACGGCGCTCTCGCCCCGGCGCGGGCAGCACACCGCCAGCGTCACCTGCACGCCGTGGCCAGTTGAAGAGCGAATCGTGAGGATGTCTCAGCAGACACTGGCTTTCTTGGCTCAGATGGGGGGCTGGACATCACGGGCGAATCAGGCGCACGTTTGGCAGAAGGCAAAAGCGGAGCGATGTCCCGGCAGATCGGGCCAGTTTGATTGCCGCCAGTTTCCGTCGAACGCGTGCGGAGCAAGGGTCCGAGGGTGATAACGGATCATTGTGCAGGCAGTTGCACGTCTCGTGGAGTATGTTGCGGCGTTTGTTCCCCATGTTTTGCGTCGTAGACTTTGTTATCCGTGTCGCGCCTCCGTCTGCTCACTCCCTCCTCCTCCTCCTCCTCCTCCTCCTTCTCCTCCTCCTCCTCCTCCTCCTCCTCCTCCTCCTCCTCCTCCTCCTCCTCCTCCTCCTCCTCCCTTCTCCATATCACGATCAGAATCATCGCGATGCGACAGGCATAGCACTTGGGCAGCACAGGGGGTAGGTCACTTACCAGTTCGTGCCCAGATTGTGGGGATGTCTCCAGCGGTTCGCTTGTTTCACAGATGTAGGCGTGTCTTTTCCAGGGCCGCGTGGTGTTCGCGATGTCGCAATAAACGTTGCTGGGCGCCACAGTGGGGAGCGGCCACAGGGTGGAACATTTGCCCGTTGGCGCCCAGCATTCGGGGATATCTCAGGCGAGACGCTGGCTTTTTGAGGTGGGCGTGTTTTTTTTTCAGGGTCGCCACGAAGAAAGCGAATACTTGGATCAGTCCCAGCAGTCGCCGCGGTACTGGGGCGACCTTCGGATCGATTATTTCGTTGTGGATTTGTTTGGCGCGTACCCTTTAAACCGAAAGGGCAGCCCAGCGTTGGCAAATTTTGCGCGGCGGTTGCACGACGACGGTGGACGCACCATAGAACCCGTCATGACAGCCCATGGTTGTCAAGATTTTCGTGGCGGTTGTAAGACGAACGCGGGCACGGTGGTCGCGCGTATTTGGGTGTTCACATTCGTTATGGTGTTCGCATGTGGTTGGCCAGGTCGTATTTTTTGTAGGTTTTGGAAACATATGTGATAAGCCTTGGCTAGGTCGCGGGCGGGCCTTCGCAGGGCTCTGGGTAGGCCATAGATCAGCTCTTGAAAGGCCGCCAGGTAGGCCTGAGGCAGGCATTGGATAGGCTGTCGAACTGACCTTGGGCAGGCCTGGGGTTCGTGGGCAGGTATTGGGCAGGTGGCATTGGGTTCGCTCCAGGTGGGCCTTGCTTTGAGATCAGAGGTCTTTGGGGCAGCGGGTCGATATCCCAGGAAATCGGGCCAGCCCAGAGGCTACCTTTCATCGTGTACCTTCCACCACCCTTCCCACTCAGCTTGCAAACTGTTGACCTGCCCCTGGCTGTTGGCGGGTCGCACCGCGCAGCGATCGAGAGCTGCTGGCTGCCACTCAAGTGGCAGCGCTGACAAATCATAGAGAGCAGAGGCGCCATTGCCTGAGGGCACGCCGATCCACTCTTGCCGCTGTCGCTCCATGTGTCTGGCTGACTGCTGGTGCTGATGTAGGGCCCGTTCTTCAGCCCAACTCCTGGGGACTTCTATGAGGTCAGCGGGGACCTGCTCGATGACGCCCAAGACAGTGGCCCGCCGGACGTAGAGGTCCTCTCGAGGCAACGCGCGGGCCCTGGAAAACTTGCGAGGCCCGTTGAAGCCGGAGACCCCACATGTGGAACTTGTCGGAGACCTGATACTGAGCCCTGCAGAGGTCCACAGGCGCCAAGCGCACCTGCTTCAACCAAACAACTAACGCAGACAAGCGCGGGAACCTGGGAGACCCAAGGCTCAGTGCGGACTGGAAGCGGGGCTTGATGGGCATGATGCGCCCACAGTGCTTGTCAGACTCTTCCGATGGTATCTGAAATGTCCGAACTCACTCGCTCTCGGCGGTAAAGATAAACGCGCCCCATTCAGCGTCGACCGAGTCTGTATCTGCCATCACTTGCGAGGCATGATCCCCGATATTGCTATCTGGCTCGCTCTCGCTGCCCATGTGCTGCGCGACGTGGAAGCGTCCATAGGTACCTTAATCACGCGCACCTGCGCGTCGCTGGACGCTGCGGCAATGCGCAGGATCACGCGAGAGTGAAATGGGGATGTCCTCGAGGACCCCGATGGAGTGCTCACCCAGGAGGTTGGAGGAGATCGCGGAGAAATCAATCGCACGTCCAGCTGGCGCACAGGTGCTTCCCGGCAATCGGCGTTCAAAATGTTGTGGGCCTCCTGAACGACGAGCGCCTCACAGCCCGGAAAGCCACTGAGGACCCTCTCGAGGCTGGGGCATCCGGTAACATTGGAGATGCCGATGAACCAATCTCGAGACTTCTGCGCGCACCTGGTCAGCACGGCGGCCCAACCACTGCTGAATTGACGGCCTGCGCTCGCGTTCTGCCTAACGAAGATAGCGAGAGCCATCGCGCCTAGCCTCAGGCGCGGGGGCGCTGGCCGCGGTCGCCACCACGTCGCCGATGATGTTCGCGACCTGCTCCTGATTGACACCGTTCGCTTCGGCGATGTCCGCGGCAATCTCTGCGTTGCCCAGGGTGGCGAGCACGACTTGCTGCATCTTGGCCGCGCCTGCCCATGGCTCGTCGAAGCTGTCGCCGTTGTCAGGACTCTACTCATCATCAGCACCCGCAGGCAACTCGCGACCACTGTCGGCAGCCGCAGGAACAGCACGGAGGGGAGGAGCGGACGCGGCACGCTGAGCTGCCCGCTGGCTCTCGACCTGCGACTTGGCCGTGGGCAACACGTTGAACTGCATGGCGAGGTTCGGGTGGAGCGCGTTGAAACGCAGGAAGAGCAACTTCTCTGGAATGTCCTCCGCCGTCGCCCCTGCCGATCCAGATCCCGCGATCTGTGTCCACGCATGCTGAGACTTCTCGGCCGCGAGCCGTTCCTGGTCGAACAATGACTTCTGCTGCAACCTGAGTTCGACCACCCGCTGGAGCTGCGTCTTGAGAATGTGCACCGCCTTGTCGAGCTTCGTGCCGACGGCCTCGATCGTCGCTCTGAGCTGCCCATGTTCCTGCTGAGCAGCTCGACACACAGCGTGTGGGTCTCCCGACTGCTGCGCACGCTCGTCAACCCCCATTGTTTCCTCCCTTCTCCTCCCTCCCCGCCTGGACGTTCCTGGAGAAGCCTGCGGGAGCTTATGGGCGACCGCCCTGCACGGGCATCTGGAAGCTGTCGAAGGGGGCATCTTCGGAGTTGCTTGGGGATGTCGAAGGGGCCTATTGTCACCTAGTGGCCTCCAGGAGACGCCCAGGGTATCCGAGGGCGCTCTCGGTCTGCCTGATGGCATCAGAGGCCGTTTGTCGCGGTTATTAGGGGGTCCCTTGGGTCGTTTTGGAGGACTATCGGGCGCTCTTGGAGCTGTCTTTTGGGTCTGTCTGGTATCCTTTACGAATTCATTCGGGCGGTGTGGGAGCCACCTGGATGCTTCAGAGGCTCATAAGAGCAAGGCGACAGAGGTAGGGTAAGGCAATGACAATGCTGGAATTGCGCGTGGAGGGTCATTGTTTCGAGCTTCGCGTCCGGGTGCGAACGATGGGGCGTCAGGAACAAAGTATCAGGTGTAGGGTAAATGCCGGGTGGATGCCCTTTTGCAGATTGTTTCGGGGTTTCTTGGGGGCCTTCAGGCCCTTCGCCTGCACGGCAGGCACACACGTGTCGCTTGTTTTTCCCAGGAGCGTTGCCTAGTATTCAGCGCGGTGGTTCCACGGAGCTGTGGGGGCTCCTGGGAATGAGAGCGTCTTGCAGCGTGGCTGACGGCGAAGCGACGACGACGACAACGACGACGAAGACGGCGGCTGCGACGATGACAACGACGGCGGTAGTGACGACGACGACGGCGGCAGCGGCGACGGCGATGACGACGACAACGACGGAGGCGGCGACGGCGGCGGCGACTGCGACGACGACGGCGGCGACGGCGGCGACGACAACGACGGCGGCGACGGAGGGCGGCGGCGAAGTCGGCGGCCCATGGCGACCACGACAAAAAGGGGAAAGGTGGATAGATACCGGCGGAGGGCCCCGCAGCCATCGGTGCGGCTGTTGCTGGGGGTCTGTACTACCAGGTCCAGACTTGCAGAAGTACTGTTAAGTCGGGCGCGTCCCTCTACAGGGGGAATATTCGAGAATAGTAAACAAATAGTCTGGGGCCAGTTTTGTTAAAATGTTTGACAATTTTGATTTAAGTTTTGACTTTCTTTTATCCACCTGCCCGACCTGAAAGTACTGTCACTGGGTGAAGGATGTTCGAAGAAGCAAGGATGCTGGCTTCCCCTTTCGTCGTGGTCTTCGTCGTCGTCGTCGTCGCCGTTGTCGTCGCCGCCGCCGCCGCTGTCGTCGTCGCCGCCGCGGTCGTCGCCGTCGTCGCCGCCACCCTCATTGTCATCGTCGCCGCCGCCGTCCTCGTTGTCCTGGTCGTCGTCGTCGTCGTCGTCATCGTCGTCGTCGTCGGGCTTCGGGGTCGTTCCCCGACTCTGGAGAGTCTTCCGGGGATTTTTCGGGGGCCGCCTGGGGGCGACTGGATGTCTCTTGGGAAACTCCTCAAGCCGTTTTCGGAACCTCTGGCGCGGTGGGTTGGAGCCTCCCGGAGGCCTCTGGGGAAGGTCTTTTGGGGGCGTATTGGGGGCCTCTGAGGTAGTTGTGAAGCATCTTGGGGGCCTCTGGGGGGCTAATTATTGGTCCTCTTGGGGGCGTCTTGGGGGCCTCTTGGGCTCTGTTTGGGGGCCCCTCTTGGCTCTTGAGCTGTCTTGAGGCGGTCTTGGGCTGTCTTGGGGCCCTCTGGGGGGCGTCTTCTTTTTTTGCTCCGCAAAGCGTAGCGAGGCCCAGGTGCACGAAGCGTGCGCGCACCATCCCAGCAGCCCATCGTATGTCCAGGACTGGGGGCACTGCGCCACGTCGACCGAGGGCGCTTGTGGCCCAGCGTGAGCCCGACCCGCGGACGTTTGCATCGAGCTCATGATGAGTAAGAGGGAGGGAGGAGGAGGAGGAGGAGCAATAATCAGCGGGCAGCGTGGATGCCAAAAGCGGCAGTCACGCGCATCATCTGCTCGAAAACCCTGGCGCACGCCAGAAATACAAATGCACCGGCCGCAAGAGAAAGAGGAGGAGGAGAAAACTGCGGGACGGAGGCTTGGTTGTCGACGCAACGTCGCATCGCACAAATGACTCGCAAATACATTGGAAAGGCCAACCGTGCTTTTTGTTGTGTCTCGCGAGACGGAATCTACGACGGCTCCGCCTCCACGAGCTCTGGCCCGTCGCTCGCTGGAAGGATGCCGTACGTATTCAGGGTAGGATGCGAGGAGAAGTAGTGCATCTTGATGTGCTTGATGTTGGTGGTGGCCTTGACCGCCTGGATGGAGTAGCACGTGCGCACAAAACGCAGCAAGTGCGGGAAATCAGCGAGCCGCTTGTGGCTCGTCTTAAAGTAGACGACATACACCGGGTCAAAACGCACAAGAGTCATGTACAAGCGCAGGTCGATCCACCGGAATTCGGAGCCTGTCAAGAAAGCCGTCCCATTTTTGGCCAGTAGCGCCTCGAGGCGATCGAGGGATGCAAACAACTCCGCGTGCGCCCGGACATAGGCCTCTTGAGTGCGTGCGAAGCCGCAACGATAGACGCCGTTGTTGACAGTCGGGTAGATATAAGAGTTAAGCTCCTCCGCCGCCGCCGCCTCAACTTTGTTGAACAGCTTGCGCTCGGGGTGCTTGCACCACTCATCGAAGGCACTGTCAAGTATCTGCAGGATCTCCATGCTTTCGTTGGAAACGATGGTGCCCTCCTTCTTGCACCAGAGAACAGGGGTGGTGTACTTGCCCGTCTGATCGTTCGCACGCTCGTACAGCTCGCGGATGGTTTTGCAGCCATTGACAGTGTCGGGGATGCACGCGTCATCGCATTCGAACGAACCGTGGCCGAGCTCGTTGGTCACTGGCGCGTCACGGGGGGCTCTGAAGTGCCAGCCAGTGTGTAGATCTTCTGGATCGTCACAGCGGGTGCGGCGCCAAGTCGGATGGACCACGGAGACGCTGATGATGTCCTCGAGGCCCTTGAACTTGAGTGCTGTGAGACAACCATTGGCCCATGGGCAACCGAGCGCCACGTACAGATGGTACCGACTGGCCTCAGGCTCGAAGCGTGATTCTGGTGCTACTTTATTGCTGAAACCAGCAGCCGATCGTTGGAAATCGCCCTTGCTGTCAATCTCATCAAGTGCTGTGTGTGCCTTGACCATGTTCACGATATCAACCTATGAAATACTGTCTGCTGCGGAAACCAGAGACGGCTTGAGCCAAAATGGCTTGAGCCAAAATGACTACGGAGGCCCTCTGGGGGGCGTCTTGGGCGCCTCTGGGGCCCTTGTGGGTCGTTCGTGGGGGCTCCTTGGGTCACCTGGAACATGTGGAGTCCGACAATGCGAGAACTGCAAAACAACCTAGAAAAACACAACGTCATCGATGATATTTGCCTCTTGGGGAGCTCTCGAGGGGCCTCTTGAACCCATTTTGGAGCGTCTGAGGGCGTTTCAGGCCGTCAGGAAGCCGTCTTGGGGTTGATGCGGGCCTCCCGGGGATGGTTCGTGGCATCTGGGAGCGATGTTTCCGCCTCCCTGGCCAAGAGCCCAGAAGCGAAGCCCCTGGACGGCTCCAGATGGCCCAAGGAAGCCCTCAAGGGCTTCCCAACAGCCCCGTCCATCTCCGTCACCCTCTGACGTCAACCCGTATAGCAAGGCCGCGCGATAAGGATGCCAAGGGACTTGGTAGGATCTGATCCGCTGCCTTCGCGCCGGCCGCAGGTCCGCTGCTTCCCGCGCAGCCCGAAGATCGTAATCTGAATACTCGGGATGGCGCACACGAACAGGGGACTTCGAAAAGCCGCGGCAGCGCTGGACGCCAGACCGGCGCGGGCAGATCAAGGGCGCATGGTGGGACCAACTGAGGCGGGCGCCCGCGTGGGGTGCGACAAAACTGCTGCCTGGGCAATGGAGCGGACGGGGAAGGGAGACGGCGAAGGAGAAAAGAATGACGGGTAACGTGTACACAATGACAGAGAAGCTGCCTGAGCGCAGCGAAGCGGAGGAGGAATCGGAAGACGGAGAGGGATAGGGGCAACAAGAAATGACGTGGCACGGCCAGTGGCAGGAACATGGGCAAACGGATGGAGCAGGGTGCTGGGTCAGAGATAAGGAAAGGGGCACGGGCAGGGGCAGAGGCGGGGGCGGAGGCGGCAGCAGAGGCGGCGCCATGGGCAGGGGCAGGGGCCAGCGTACAGGCGGCACAGGGGGACAAAAGAGAGGGACAAGAGGAACAGACGGATGGATGGACGAGGAGTATGAGCATAGCAATATGAGGCGCCGGCTGAACAGGAGGAGGGCAGGAGGACGTCCAGAGAAGGGCCAGCGTGCCCTCCTTCCCTTAAGCAGCCTGCCGCAGAGCTGTGTAGTGTGTAGTCGGATGGTGAGAGGTAAACGTGCAACGCCAAGCGAGCAACAAACGCGTGAACGCTTGGATTATGATAGGCCTGGGGTACTAGGACATGGTGAGCCATGGCGAAAACAATGGGACATCCAAGCACGACGTCGAGATACACGGCAATGGCACTCACGACAACATCAAATGGGAAGAACTGACGTATATCCAGAGCTACTGCTTGTGCGGCATATCCATCCCTACTGCACTATGCTGACCACATGTACTAAACAAGCACTGCAGCGAAACTCTGGGTACTGGCAATGCTAATATCGAAAGGAGACGCGTAACATTACTGTGCACAGTATGGGGGCGAACCGTGCTCACGTTCGCTGACATCGACCTGTAGCTGGCAACATCACCGCAAACTGCATGGATGTGTCTGGCAGCATCAAGCGTTAATTGACCACCGTTCCGAACCAAGACACGTCACCCCGACACGCAGAACATCCCGACCTGTGCAATCCGCATGTCCTTTCGTGTTCTGGGGCCACGTTGCCGTCGGAAGAGTCTCGTGCCTTCTCGGGTGTCCTGTCTAATCAAGTCCGACTGTAGGCTCTGACACTGCTTGTCTGCTTCCGAAGAGGGTCGCACCCGCGCCAGCGTCCAGTGCGGCTGCCAGGAGGACCAACGAGACCTGCAGCCAAGGGTCGGCGGTGGACAAACCTCCCTTTCGTAAACCTCCCCTTAATGAAAACGGCCTGGGACCGGAACCGACGGACCTGGACCCGTAAAAATGACGGCCGCGACGCCCTCTCGCGAACCGAAAACGGCCAATTCCTCAATCGACGTGTCAGAGCAGGAGGTTTGTCCGACCCCGAAAGGGGGGGGGATCTGCCTCTGCCCTCCCCGCGTCCCGTCCGGTCGGGGGGGGAGGGCCTGGCCAGGCCGATCCCGGGCCGGGATGGGTGGGTACAGTCAAAAACCAAAATAAGGACGCGCGACTTTGCTCAGGGTACCCTTGCGTCCTTGCTCATCCTTGCTCTTGCGCCCTTGAGGTTTTCGTCGTCCGCCGCCCCAGAAATCCCAACTTCGGCTTCCAAGGGGCTTGCGTCCTTACCGCCCTTCCTTATTAGGGTTTTTGACTGTACGCTTCCGCTGGTGGGGAAGCCATGGGCCCAAGATGGGAGGGCACGCCCCAGCTGGCAAGGAAACCAATCGGGTACCGATGCCGCCACTCCCCGGACCTCTCCAGGGGGTGCGTCCTGACCGGAAATCTTGGTGCGCGAATCCAGGCGTGGCGGCGAAGGCCTCGCAGGAGGCCCAAAAAGGGAAAGAAGAGGGAAGGGCAGCGGTATGGGCACCCAGGATTTCACCATAAAAGAGGGGTGGTCTGAAGGGTTCCAGCGGGCTTGGGCATGAGGCCGCCCTTTCAGGGCTGGTCTGGGGGGATACTAACAATCTGTAAAGGGTTTTGACCCCCCCCGCCCTTTTATTACAACATTCTGAATACAGTCAACCCGTATGATAAGAATGCGCGGTAAGGATGCAAGGGCCTTGGAGGGCCACGTTAGCGTTTTTCGAACGAGGTTGGCCGGAGAATCGCTGCGGGTTGACTGTACCTTTTCCTCCTCTGAGTTGGCTTGGCCCGGCTGGTGGACGGGAGAGGTGCCAAGGGCAGCGGGGAGAGGGGCCTTCCGAGAGGCCCCCCCCCGCCCTCCGCAGGCGCGGCGCGCGAGGCCCCGAATGGGCCAGGCTCCCCCCCAAGCCCCATGCCTCCTCGACTAGACAGGCTGCTCCCCCCCTTCACCCTCCCTGAGAACGAAGCCAGAACGAGGATAACATCGGGCGAAGATGCATCGAGAATCTCTGACATCCGGCGGCTCTGGAGGATGAATGGGGCGCCGCTGCCGTTTCCGAAAATTGTGGAACGCTTTGAGAGCGTTCTGGAACGCTCCGGAACGGATTGTTACCCTCGTCCTGGCCCCGCCCAGACAAGGCTGCCCCCTTCGCCGCCCACACAGGGAGAAGGGTCTCCACGCGCTCCTCTCGGTGATTCAAAGACTGGGTCCTGAAGGATGGGGTCCTGAGGAGAGGAAGGGATCCAAGGGTGGATTTGCACTCTCTGACGTACCTCGTCCTGTGGTCATCAGGGCCCCATGCCTCAGGACCCCATCGTTGAACCACCGATTCTCGGCGGCGGCGCGCATGGCGTCGGGCCAGTCTCCAGTAACGCCGGCGGCGGGCTGCGGCGGAGGGACGCGCGGCCAGAAGGGGCAAGGCATACAGTCGGGGCTGATTGGAGAGGACACGCGAGAAGACATAAGACCCTTTCGAACGC